TACACAATTACAATATAAAGTTCCGCGTAATAGAGAGCTTAGTGCGGATGTGCCCTTAGTGACAACCGAAAATCGCGCCACTCGACATACACCCCTCTTGTTTGAAGCTAGCATTCCATATATCAATGTGATCTTACAGCTAATGCTAGATTCTTACTGCGGAGCTTCATTATTTGTTAGTGTCCTAATTCTAAAAAGGCCCAAAGTGGGACAAGATTGGTGATCAGATCGACCTTTTACCACAGCCGATCTGCAGATATAATCGCATCACTAGTTTATAGCTCACGAAGCGAGAGAAACGGCATAAAATCATTTGTGATCGATACACATTCGTTTCGTTGTTCGCCGATGGGCTCTATGAAACATCTACAATGTTTCTAGACTTCGCGTGCATATGTTACAGTCTCCCAAAACTTCGGCTCAGATGCGTATTCATCACCACCATGTTATTTGTGTTTATGCTCAAGAAAGGTGAGGTGAGACTAGCCATTCTCTTATTGGCTGAATGTTCCTTAATTTCCGACACGTGCTCTTCGGCTCTCCAATGTAAATGGCTCTGCGCAAGCTACGCACTCTTGCCAACAAACTACTCCTACCTTAATGCAGTCAAGTAATTTTTAGATAAACTGACCTTCTTTTGGAATGTAATATTTCCTGTACTCATTCGCAGTGGTTAGGGTCTAAGATGATACGTGAAATGACAAGTGTCTGCGCGCATCCAAGTGATGAAGGAGGGATGTTCGTAATACTCCAGAATGGTCGAGAAATTGTGCAGCTCCACCTAAGTGACGCAACCTTTTTTCCATCGTGCTACTTCAGCCGCCAGCTGCTGCCATCAATTGAAAGTTAGGCCACTAATAAATAATAGCGCTCCACAGTAAGAATCTTCCATCAGCATGTATGATCACACTAATATACAGGGTGGTCCACATGAAGTGTGACGCAAGAAAATACCCACAAATCTGCACTAATCAGTCCAGATAAGAAATGACACACTTATTCGATAGCCAGAAAAGTCTACATAAAAGATTACATCGCATTCAAAATGGCCACCTTTAGCTTTAATATAAGCATTCAATCTCTTTTTGTAATTTTTGAGGATGCGCGCGATCATTTCGGCGAGATTAACTCCTCCAATCTCTTTGAAGCGTTTTATGACTCGTTGTTCTTGCAAATGCAATTCGATGCAATTTGAGTGTCTTTGAAATCTCGGTAACTGACAAGCCGCGCTTTTGCATAGCGAATTGCAAAACGATCATCATGTGATACCTTTTTACTTAAAAAAGAAGACTGATCTAGGACTAAAAAATGCGAGAAAAACAATAA